GCGTAAAAGCACACGTGTTTGTACTGTTATTTTTTTAATTTAACCGTCAATAAAATGACCAAACCAATATGTTAATGTTACCATTGGTTTGAGCTAGTGACGTCATTTGTTTATGTGTATTGTGTATGGTGTATGATCCATACCGTTTCTGTTCAAATACGCTTGATATCTTTCAACTACGGCAAAATTACAACTAGTACAAATACACGTAAAATTTAAAATTTCCAGTAATCTATACTTATTTAATACGCAAGCAAGTTTTTTGTGACAATTACTCCTCCGAAACTACTGAACCGATTTACATGATTTTGGTGTCACTGGAAAGAGCGTAACGTGAAGTTGTGCAGGAAACTTTCTTTTTAGCTAAATAATTAAAGAATGAGGCCCTGGGGCCCTTTAAAGATTCATATTTCTTCATAAGATTAACATGGGGAACAAACATTGTTATGAAACTCCAGCTGTTGTCAGAAATGCTGTTCTGCTATTTAATTTAATTTGTTTACAAGGATAATTGTTTCTTGGTGCCATGTGGTTAATGAATTATACTTTAGCATTGTGTTGTGTGTATAGCATTTAAAATATATATTATATATTTTAAATGCTATACACTATATAAAATGATAGTATTGTAATACATTGAGAGATCTTCATTTGAATAATCAATAAGCACGATTGAGCCTTTGCCTATATGTTTCCTATTAAGTGTGTTGTAACTGTTTCTTATAGTATATTATTGTATCTCAAAGTAAAACCGAATTATTCTTTTCTGTATTCTCACCCCGTAGCGAAGCACGGGTAGAGCAACTAGTAATAATTAAACCCTTCCGTTTCTTTAAGTCTCACTTACTAAAAATATGTAGCTACTGTATATCAATGCTGATGAAAAGTTTTTTCATGCTTGGTTTCGTTAACATGATAGTGGAACCCTAACCAGTGGCAACAGAGCCCTACGTAGTGTCGGCCCGTCCTACGTACGGGAATCGAGTAGTCCATTAAAAATGTATATAGTTATATCAATATTTCTATTCCTAATTCAAGCATAGATTAAGCAGGAGGTCAAAATGTATTGTAAAGAAAAAGCTGATAAGATAAATTAAAACATCTGATCATTGTATTTTCCCAACCTTTCCTAAAAAATTTGAGTAGCAAAAGAAATTTTCATAAGTTTTTTTTTAAAGCTCGTGAGCATCGATTCGTATAGCAATGGTTATAGAATCTTACTTATTTCCTATAATCAATGACAAAACCACAATGACATTCCCTACTTCTCAAAATTATACTTATTTCAACACAATAATCATGAAATTCCGTCAAGTAATTAATTCAAAATCGTGAAATAAAAAAACCCCTGTCACGGGACTGTCAAAAATAAAGATAGGCCTATTTAAGTTTTAATATATGACGAGGTGTCAGCCCGTCTTACTTACGGTAATCGAGTAGTCAGTTAAAACTGTGTATAATTCAGAACAGCTAGTTTACACGTAAAGACCAGATGATGATGATTTCATTTAAACTAGTGTACATGTTGCTCGAAATCAAGCAATTACAAAGAAGTACTGGAGTTATTTATAAACAAATGACTTGTTTAAAAACTAATAACAGCCATAATTTCCGATGATTTTAAAAGAGTCGACCAAAAGATTGTTAACTAATGGAAATACTCACAATTTACATAACAGTCCTATTCCAGTTTAAAGGGTTAATTTTTAACTATCAAACTTCCCATGGACGGGAAAAGGAAAGCTTACAATTCAATTCAACGTAAAAAGGCTGTCAGTGTCAGCTTTTATAATGTACCGTACCTAAGTTATTTAGCCAATTTGTAGACAATAAGGTGTAGGCTACTTTAAACTCTACAGAACAGAGTTAAGAAAAAACTGGCAGAACTCTGAAATTGTGTTATTTATCATAGGCATACTCATGTGGCAAATCCTCAAAATAAAAATTCAATATTTAATAACTCATATCATTAAAATAACCAACATCCAAAACTATACACATTTTTAATACAACATAGATAATTTACACTTTGACTGTTTACAATTAACATATGTTCTTCTTCTCACTTTTTATTTTTGCTTCGCAACGGTCTGTTTCATAATCACTGAAATAGATTTATAATAAATAATCTATCATACAGTTTAAGATTAATTAAGCCCTACCACATAGTTGTTTTATTTTATTTTGTTGTTGTTGTATCAGCTGTCTGAAATTGTGAAATAGGCATTTGACATTTCTGGTTGTTTACATTTAAATGTCAAAGTAAATGTAAACATTGTGAATTTTCTCATGCTTCCATGGAGACCAATTATTAATATTTAATTTCTAACAACAGCTGGAGTTTCAAAACAATGTTTGTTTCACATGTTAATCTTATGGAGAAATATGAAACTTTAAAGGGTCCCAGGGCCTCACTCTCTAATTAATTATTTACCTAAAAAGAAAGTTTCCTGCACAACTTCACGTTACGCTCTTTCCAATGACACCAAAAACATGTCAATCGGTTCAGTAGTTTTGGAGGAGTAATTGTCACAAAAATCCTGCTTGCGTATTAAATAAGTATAGATTTAATTTAATATTTTTATTTAACAACCTATATGATGAAGAAAACGTCCAATAATTTGAAGATTCCCACAAAAAATGAACAATGATATGAGCCGAAGTGGGACTATTTTTGTAGGAAACATGGACTTAATTTTGTGATGATTGCAAAGAATGTTATTGCATGTTATTAAATGTTATTGCATACTATAGAAGAATTACTTTCGCCTGATGAGTCTGATGATGATTGGAGTGTCCAATCGAAATCTATCACCACTTACCATCCTTTTTGTATTAGCCTTCTTGTGAGTAACAGTATTTAAGCGTAAATATATGTTTTAAGTGTTATAAGACATTTCTTTTATTTACTTTTCGTAAATTTAATAACACGAACAATGCTGATCAAGAAGTTATTTCTACTATATTCAAAAGCATTAACAAGTTATAAGGTTTACCAACAGACTAGTAGTGTTGTCTAGTAATTCTTTTTGCACTAATAACAACAGCTTATTTGAACCAAGCACCAACACAAAGCTGTGTTAACTTTACTTTTTCTATGTTTGGGTGCAGTGGTAGAATATATTATGGTAAATGTGCTATACTATATTAAAAGAACCAATTTACTTAAGCCGTGTCCTCTCCCATTGCTAACGCAAAGCCTGAGTATAACTGCAATTACCATTTTATAATTATACGCCAACTCCGTACGAAGACGGGTACTCAGGTGGTACAAAATATTTTTCATCATTTAGTGATTTTAAAACGTTAAATAATATTTCCGTCATATCGTAGTTGGAAAATGGCGATTGCTGGAAAGCTTCGCACGTAAACTAGCCAGACCTAGAAGTGGTCATGAATACGATTATTGGACAAACTAAAAAAATAAAACTCTAAAAATGTATCTAAAAACGTATTGAATTATTAACATTGAACACTATTTCCTATTAGCATATGTAATAATGGTTACAAACACAACACCTCCAAACCTTAATATTTTATACGAAAGTCAAAGTCTCTACTGTTAGTGATTACGAATTTTTGTTGAAAAGGTAAATGCCAATATAAATTATTGCGTTGCCAAAACTTTAACTTTATTGAACTAGTTATTATTATTCTGTGTATAGTCAATGGTATTAATAATTTATGTGTATGTAAATTGTATTGCAGACGTTTTCCAATATGCCCGTAGAGTACGTCTTAAGTTATCGCCAATTAATGTTAATTTTGCATAAAATATAGTAGGCCTACGGTATGTCTAATAAGGTTTTATACCAGTAGGGACTTTAATAACTATATATCAAGGTATTATTTTTTTAAAGACATAAAAGATAAGGTGAACAAGTGGTCAAAAAGATTCATACTAAACTATCACGACAACATACAAGCGCCGCGAACCTGCAGATTGGGGAACGCAACACCCACCACTTTTGGAGCGAACGATCTTGGAGTGAATGCAACAGTTCAAGATTATTACATATTTAAATTATACTGATCGTTCTCTCCAATGTGCATTCGATCCAATGTACAGTAAAATTCAAAATTAATATTTTCTACTGGTTAGTCTACTTCTAGAGTTGACTGTACCCGTTGGATTGAATGAACATTGGAGCAAACGAACAGGCAAATAATTTATCAAATTAATTTTTGGAGTGAACGATTTTGGAGTGAATGAAACATCTCGAACAATACCAACACTATATTTAAATATATTTATACATCTTAATGCGTGTGTATTTAAGTGTGTGTACTTGGAAATATGAATACAAAAATATTAATTAAAACCATCAATTAACAAAACAAATAACCATTAACGTTGCTGGTGACGACGTGTGTTTAAACACCTTCAATCTGAGAGACGCAACAGTTCTAGCGTTTTGAAACTTCCGATCTGATTACTAGAGTTTTGGATCTTCCGACCCGACATACGATCGCAAGATCCAAAATGAAACGGACAGTCCATTTCATAAGTTTACTCTAAGAAATAAATTTGTACTTCTAGTTATGACTGTACTTTTGGATCTTGCGATTTTGGAACTTCCGATCGGCAATATTTTCTTTGGATCTTTCGATTTTGGATCTTCGAACCCGCTAAATAACCTTTGGAACTTCCGATTTTGGAACATCCGATCGGCAATATTTTCTTTGGATCTTCCGATTTTGGAACTTTTGAAATACTCCCGTTTAAACGAGGCCAGTAGAGTAGGCAGGTTACATGCCTCTAATGTATTTTAAGTCACATACCTGAGGCAAGTAACCTGTGCGCCAACTTATATATATTGATATATCTATATATTGATTTTTTGCTTGGGTTGTATGTTGTTTTAAAAGCATGTCCCACCATCCATAAAATGTTAGCGTTTGATTACTAAACTGGAACACTAATGCAAATGTTTTGCAAAATTTATACTTATAATACAGAATTCAAGGGACTACTGTAATATAAACGTAAATTACACTACCTATCATCTGTTTTTATGAGTATTTCATCCATTAATATTGCTTGAAGCGCCTCCAGCTCTTCCTCAACTCTGAAACAAGACAAAACTATCATAAAAAGCAACAATATATAGGTATCCTAAAACAAGATATTGTGGTTAGAAGTCATAAAATCCCAAGAAGTTTTATTAAGCGGAGCGAAGCAAAGTACTTTGGGATCGACTTCAATGCAAATTGTATAACACTTTAACTTAATAACGGCTGAACATATTAATAGCCAAACTTACCAAGGTTGTTTTGACAAATGTTTGGAAGGATTAGACAAAACCAACTTCAATTTTTAATAATCTTATATATAAAAAAAAATTGGTTTTTCTATTCCGACTACGTTTGGCTCTTCTAACCGACCGATTTTCATGATTGAGGTCTCAAATTGAAGGTATGCACGCACAGATTAGCCATTAAGCATTGACATATAATTATCTATAATCCCACTCGGCATATACGTAAACGAAATTTGCTCCCCATGTATTTCTTATGGGAGTTAAATTTGGTTTTTCTTTGCCGAGTTGGTTTGGCTTTCTACCCGACCGATTTTTATGATTGAGGTCTCAAATTGAAGGCATGCACGACAAGTTTTCTCATAAATCATCGGCAAATATTTACCTACAGTATTACTTGACCAAAACACATAGGCCCCTAATTTGATTTATTTTCTAATTCTTACTTTAATTTAAGATGTATCTTCACCAGTTATAATTTTATAATCCTATATATTTTAGTCTAAGAACCTTCAGTGAAATACTGACTTTCATCTAAGTTATTATTGATTAAAATCGTTCAGTTTCAAGCAAACGCAAGGTTAAAAACCAACATAAAAATTATTTTTCATAAGGTATGATGAAAAATTAATAGCTCCTGTATTGGTAATGTTTTTCTATATGATGTTTTTCTCATAAATTTGATTATTTCTCGGATATATTTGTTTTAACGCTGAAGAGTAGCACGGGTCTTATAGACTCAAAATAATCAGTAAATTATAGGCTTTAATTTGAGCTATTGATCGTTTGAATCAGTTAAGCTCAAGACACTGTATTACTCAATCAAAAATCATAAATTTAATTATTTCTCAGAATTATATATACTAGAACGCTGCAGAGCAGCATGTGTCCTCTAGTGCCTATATAATTTAAAAGTAAATCAAAGTTTTAAAATTTTAAAATTGGCCTTACAGGTAGCCATGATGGTAACTTATTAACGACATAAATGTAAACAAAACAAAGAATCATAGCATATGTTAAAATCAAGCCACGACCTAAACAATGTTCAAAGGTAAACAATTTGGATGATCACCACTGATCAAATAATACAGAGAAAGTCTTAAGTTTACATTCACGTCACAATTTGCTAACAACCACTGATCGAATAGGTACAGTGTTTTACAGATTTGATTCATGTAGCTAAATAAGGTTATAACAAATAACATCTATCTTATGTTATTGGAAATGACAACAACTACATGAATCTGCAGTTTTAATTAACTAGGTATTCTCAAATCAATATTTTGATCTATATAGGTTATTATAAACATGCTTTCGTATTATTTACTTTAAAAAGTGCAAGTAAACTTCTTATGATAATGTGAAATTTAAACCAATTTAATGCTTGTTGTTTCATGTGGAAACATAAGCTAATTTAACTAATAAATAATATTGTTAAATTGTTGGATTAAGCTAATGTTTAGGCCTATGTAAAAACAAAAATGTTAATGTTTATTTTGGCTATTACGACAAATCACACGGTCCACCACTGAGTATAAACAACCCGTTCTATACTTTCCAACCTATTTTAAAATTTGAAATACTTTTGATGATATCATCGTGTTGGCAAACCACTTAGGTATTCATTTTGTAACGAGAAAATACCTAATTCGCTTAAGAGTGTCATATTAAGAAAAATTTCAGAATGCATTCTCAAAAACTGCCTGATATTTTTAGAAAATAAAGACGAGCAATCAACGCCCCCAATTGCACGTACAACTACTTTAGGCAATGTTTTGACATACAGTACCGTAGTTGAATCATAGACTAACCAACACAAGTAGACTTCTCATCCCATTGTAAATTTTGAAGCACGTTTTTCGTGTCTAGTTCATGTACGTGACACAAAGGCGCTAGTGTCGATTAAACTTTGTTTCTATTATTTTAGGGTTAATTTCTTGATTTGTGCTTTACTGTTTGGTTATATAACTAGGGGATAAGTTATTGTTTATGATTAGATCGTATTATTTGGTTAAACGAGGTTTTAAATGGCTGTAATAACGGGAAACAAATTGTAAACAAAACACGACCTCTACATAAACCGTACATGAACTAACAATAAAATTTTCTTCAGCTGTTCCATAAGGATGAGTAATCTACTAAGGGAGTATGTTTTATCTATGGTTGAATGTAGAACACTTGCTTGAAAACAATGCTTTTCATAATAAAGATAAATGTAAAAAAATTAAGAAAACAAACCTATAGATATGGTATGGTGACAACTATTTTTGCAATTTTCTTAAAAGCAGGCATGTCTTTAAAACGTTTCATCTGCTAATCGTATGGATCCATGCAGGATATTTTTCTCTCTGAATTGAAAAATCTGGCCAAGGTTGGGAGAATGACAACTGGTTTACTCCATGTTGTATGTTGTTTTCTGAATCACTGATGATAAATGCATAGGGTAGAGTGGGGGAATTGGGACCCGGGGGTAATTGGGAGCTATTTTTTTTAAATTTTGTATTATTTATTTTTTAAACAAAATTGTAAATATGTTAAAGTTTAGGCATTCTAAAGTGGTTTCATCACAAATTATTCGATAATTGTAATCTTGTGTTTGATGTATATAAAAAAAAATTAAGCCGTGTTTTTTGCCGAATGTTAAACATGTGGCAAATCTTTAGCTTAGGTAGTATTTTGAGTTATTTTTTATATATTATATGAATTAATAATCATACCAAAATGTATTTTTTGACACATTAAAGGTTTAAGCAATAGTTTGTTAGGGCTTTAAAATGTTTAAAAAATAAAAAACTAATTTTATAAATTTTTTTAAAATGGGTCCCAATTACCCCGGTGTGGGGAAATGGGACCCATATTTTTTTATCCCACATATAATTAATATTAATATTATAATAATTCCCACATACAGTATTTAATTAATCAATTTAGATCAATTTTTTTTTATGTGGCTACAGTGGTGATTATCATGTATTATGTGTAAAAACAGAATTTTTAAGTAGGTCCCAATTACCCAAGCATGGAGTAATTGGGAACCAGTCTCATCGCGTGGTTACATCGGGTTGGAATCACAGATGTACAGAAAAGTAAAAAAATTATTTTACAACCACTTGATAAGAAACTAGGGCCTAAAAGAGTGAGCTAAGCCCATAATTGGCCTATTTTAACTTATATTTGGACTGATAACTACCATTTATTAGAAATTCTTTCGGCTGAAAAAGCGAAATTACGGAAAGTTTGCCAGAAAATATGACCAGAAAAAAAGTTCGACATAAAATATACTTGTAGTTTTTTTTTATTTAACTACCTGTATACATGTCTTTAACAGTTTAAATCTAGGTATATCTTATGGTTGTTATCTGCTCGGTTAATTTTTCCTATTTTATTAAGAAAAAAGTGTAATGTTTTGGAAAAAATAGTTTGAATTGTTGTAATGTCCTAAAAATTTTTTTTTTCAATAAAAGTATGTTGCATTTTGTTTATTATGTTTCCATTTTTAGAACCCTATTACCCCCACAAATTACTATTAGGTGCTTATGGGCTTATAAGCATAGGTCCAAATTTTTTTTTTTCATAGTAAAATTTATTTAAACAAATGAAAAACATGTGATAAGAAGACAAATTACAGTTGGAAACCTTGTGCATGCTCAAGGTTTAATATGTCATATGTTATCAAGGTTATATGTTTTTTCAATAAACATATAATTGAAAAAAATAAAAGCATGGGTCCCAATTCCCCCACTCTACCCTATAAGGTTACATTACCTTGATCGCCAAGTGATCCATGTTACATTACAAATTAAATTGATGTTGTATGGTGACTTGCCCAGTGAATGACCAGTTAAGGGTAAAATTCTTTGTTAACTTAACAATGCTCTTAAATTAGAGTATTAATTCTACATATTATTATAGGCCTACCTACTTCTTGGTTGCTATTGAAGGGTTTGCCCCCATATCATAAATGGTAAAACTATCGACCTCCAGTCAACGTTCTGAAAAAAAAATATTTTTTTTCCAAAATGTTCGTTTTTTAATGCTGATTCCAAAAATGATATTCATTTTTTGCGGAAACATCCCGTTTTCCCGGAAAATGGGAAAAATCTTTTTTTGCCCAAAACCCATGTTGTGGGTATTCAAATTGTGCGGAATTTCCTCCTGAACAAGAATATGTAATCTTTATTACGATCGGACCACTATTAAGTAAAATATCACCGGAAAAGCGTAGAAATGTAGAAATGCGGGCTTTATTTTGGGTTAGGATAGGTTAGGTTAAGTTTGGTTAGGTTAGTTTAGGTTAGGTTGAGTTTGGTTAGGTTATGTTAGGTTAGTTATGGTTTAGTTAGGTTATAGTTATGTTAGGTTAGTTTAGGTTAGGTTAAGTTTGGTTAGGTTAGGTTAAGTTAGTTTAGGTTAGGTTAAGTTAGTTTAGGTTAGGTTAAGTTTGGTTAGGTTAGGTTAGGTTAAGTTTGGTTAGGTTCGTTTACTTACAATACTCATGTTATTGATAAACTAACCTAACCTAACCAAACTAACCTAATATAACTATAACTAACCTAACTAAACCATAACTAACCTAACCTTACTTAACCAAACTCAACCCAACCTAACCTAACCTAACTTAACTTAACCTAACCAAACTTAACCTAACCTAACCAATCCTAACCCAAAATAAAGCCCGCATTCTACATTGGCTTAGAGTCACCCGCAATGCTAGCGCTATGCGGCAGATATATAAGTAGCCAGCGGCCGCTTTTCTGGTGATATTTTACTTAATAGTGGTCCGATCGTAATAAAAATTACAAATTCTTTTT